TCTTGTTGCGCCTCCTTCTCGTCGTGTTCAGCTGCTGGTTACGCTGCGTGACCTTTAGTGACCTCCCACAGACCTTAGACATGTTCCTGTCCTGATGTTCTGGTCTCCTCCCCCTCAGGTCGGCCTGCTTGTCTCCTGGTTCTCCCAGCTTGGGTCTGGATGTGGAGGAGCTGGCTGAGGACTGCTCGGCGGTCCGGTCCCAGCTGGAGTATCTGCAGAGGCTGCTGCTGCAGGTAGGAGGAGGTTCTGCTGTAGACATCTGTCCCGTGTCTCCTGTCGAGCCGTCAGAACCTGAAGCTTCTGCTGTTGTTCAGGAGGACGACATGGACGACGACACTCTGACCACCGACACGCTGAGTCCGGAAACCGTCGACTCGTCCCACAGCGCCGACTCTCAGGTCAGAACCGCTCCTCTTCTGCTGTCAGCGTGTTCCTGCGTTTCCCAGAATCCTCTCCTCATCCCTCACCTGTCCGTGTGTGTGCAGGTCCAGGCTCTTCTGCAGGAGGTCCAGCAGCTCAGGGAGGAGCTGAGGAGTCGAGACCGGACCATCGCACAGCTCACGCTGCAGCTGGTCGGTCTCTGCAGAACCTTCACGCCTGATTCATATTAGCTCCTCTCTGAACAAAGTCCTCGTTACGACTGAACTTTGATTTACCAGAACGTTCTCTTTACTGATAACAGACACGAGCATCAGATCATCACGTATGAGAAGCCAGGACTGGAATTAGTTTGTTGTCACGTGACTAATGATTTAATTATTCATATTGACTGCAGTTATAAATGTCTTCATGACGTTTTTTTAACCCAGTCGTGTTTCCAGGTCTGTGAAATATCTGGAAACATCAAATCCTACAAAACAGCAGATTGTCAGAGTGTCAGAAGCAGCAGCAGGTTTTAGGTGTTTTTAACAGTTAATGTATAAAATGAAGGTGAGAAGAAGAATAAAGCTCCACATCTGGAGTTACAGGATGTTTTAGAAAGAAGTGAAATCTGCAGAGTGTCAGAAAGCATGAGGAAGAACTGAGTCGACTCAACAACAGCCTCAGATACAGACGGCAGTTTAAATCAGTTTATATTTTATAGATAAATGTGTTCAGACTTTTATCTGCTTGTTTAAAAAACATCAACACTTAACAGAACTTAATCATTTTAATTTTAAGAGTATTAATAATGATTTTATTAGATATCATTCGTTAGTTGACAAAACAGGGAAAATTATTTGCTATTTTTTTAATCATTAATATACTTTTTTGTTGACATAACAGCAAATATCTCCAAACAGTGGCATTTCTGCTGGTTTAAATACATTTTACAGCTGAACCTCCAAATTAGTTTTTGTAAAAAAGTGATTTTTAATGTGGATTTTATTTTATTTATTAGTATTTACATTTTTTATTTCTATATATTATATTTAAGTTTTGTCTTTTTTTAAATAACAGCAAATATCTGCGAATATATTTTACTGATTTTAATACATTAAAAAATCTGGTAAAAAACCAAAATGATCTTTATTTTAAAAACACAGCTGATTTTTCACATGGATCTTTTTTTAATCACTGTGTCACTTTGAGCTTCTTTCTGTGATTTATTTTTTTTAAAACACAATAAATCTGTGAAATAACTGAACCCTTAAATAATCGTCACACTCGCTGTACGAAGGCTTTGCTGATAGACTCAGTGACTCTGATGCCAGCAGGTGAATGTTTTAACAACGTTTCTCGTAGCGTTTCTCTGACGATGCTCTGTTGTGTGGCTGCAGACCGTTCCCACGGTAACCGCCAGGTGTCGTTGCCAGGAGACGACAGGAAGGATGGATCAGCACACGCAGACGAGTGTGACGGAGAGAGAGAGCGTCGCCTCGCAGACGCCGTGGAGGGATCACAGCGTGAGAACACACACACGTAACACAACACCTAACACACACCAAACACACATGACACACACATGTAACAGGCGTGTAACTGAAACTCAACATGACCTGTGATAACTCCGGCTGTACCTGAGCTCCAGAGCGGTTCACACAGCGAGAATAAAACCAGGATTTGCTGTTGCAGCTTCTTTTAAAGTCTCATCGAAGCGTCTTTAACCCTCTGGACCCACGACCTGCCTGCTGCTTTATAAAAACAACAAAAACCGTATGAACACAGAAACATCAGATTTTTAGCTCCCAGGATTCCCTGAACAGATCAGATGTTGTCAACATCAACTGGCACAAACGAGAAACACGACAATGAAACACATCACAGAAGATGACATACGCTGGACAAAAAATAGACCGAAAATGGCAAAAAAAACCCCAGAAAAAACAAGACAAAACGACAAAAATGAGACACAAAGGGACACAAAACCGCAAACGAGGCTGAAAACAAGCAAAAAAAGGCACAAAATGACTTAAATTAAACACAAAATGACTTAAATTAGACACGAAATGACACAAAACAGGAAAGAAGACCCAAAACGAGACTGAAAACAAGCAAAAAACAGACACAAAATGACACAAACTAGACAAAATGACAAGACAGATGACAGAAGATGACATACACTCGACAAAAAAAAGACCGAAAATGGAGAAGAAAAAAAAAAGACAAACAGGACAAAACCACAAAAATGAGACAAAACGCTAAACGAGACTGAAAACAAACAAAAAACGAAACACCAACGACCTGAATTAGACACAAAATGACACAAAACGGGAAACGAGACCCAAAACGAGACTGAAAACAAGCAGAACCAGACACAAACCAGCTGAATGAGTTTGTTTTTTAACGTTGCAGGATTCCTTTTCTCTGATGTTTCGCTTTCTGCTGTCGCTCTGTGTTTTAAATGACTTTTGCCTCCAGGGCTTTGCTTTGTTGCTGCAGGTTGTACTTTTCCTTCCTGTCGCTCTTCTCGCCTCCCGTCCTCGCTGACGGTCGGCCTCCTCTCCCGTCTCCTTCCTTCCTCTCTGTGTCTCCTCAGGCCTTCCCTCCGTTTCCTTTCCTCTCTCCTCCTTGGCAGTATCAGCGCTCCAGGCCTTACAGGAGGCCGAAGCCCAGCATCCCCTCACACCTCGCTAGGAAGAGTGAGTCCCTGGTTCCCCCGTAGCCTCCGTCACACCGCTAGCCTGCTTCATCCTCCTCATCCTCCTCATCCTCATCCTCATCCTCTTCATCATCAACTTCATCATCTTCATCTTTGTGCTTTAACCTTCTTCAAAATGCTTCTGTCAGGTCTCAGATATGAACAAAAACCTGAAGAAAATCAACTGAACCACGTTAAAATCTAATTACGTCCATGTAACTGAACACTTTAGGGTTTTTTAAAATGTGTTTAATGAACAAACACTTGGTCCTCGTTGCTCTGGTAGCTGCAGAGGACGGTGATGCTCTTTAACTTCCTCAATCGTTTATTCAGCAAAAAAATAATAAAGGAAAACAACAGATGCTCTTTCTTTAAATTAATAATCTGTTTGCACGGCAGGTCACATGATCTCCGTTTGGTTGCAGCTCATGTAAAGAACAAATTACTATTTAGAAAAATGCAGATTCTTTTTATTTTTTAAGTGTTAATGATTTTTTAAAATGTGATTTTACTAGAATTTGTCCATAATTTAACAATAACAATAATAATTGTGAAAAATGTTGAATTAATCCAAGATGAAGATACTTTTTCTTCCAAATAATATAAAATAGTTGTAATTTGTTTTTCTGGATTAAGCACAGTTTAAAAAAAAAAAAGAAAATTTATTTAAATGTTGAAAAAGTAAACGTACAATTTATTTGCCAAAACACACACTCTTATGTGGACGATATTATATTATATATATATATTATTATATATACAGTTGTGGTTGTTTTTCTACGGTCAGCGTGAGTTAATTCTCTTTTCTGTTGTTTTTTTTCTGGTTATTTGTAATTTAAAGCAGAAAAATCTGTAAATTAGCAGTAAATTAGTTAAAACAAACAGCTAAAAACATGTTTTTTGATGCAGATTTAAATGTTTTTATTCCATTTTTAAGGTCACAGGAGCGTCAGTCTGTAGAACTTTAACAGAAACTCGTAAACTGAAGTGAGACTCTGGAGGTCAGTATTTAGATTCATTCAGCAGGTTGTTGGCTGGCTTTAATCTGCTGGTCAGTGAGTCTGCCGAGGTTTTATCTGCACCGCCGCTTCGTTATGAGCTCATTAACCCGTAAAGATCAGCATCCGTTATCCTCGGCTGAGTTGCTCTGGAAGTTTTTATTGCTGGCGTCAAATAAATCAGCTGGAGTCGACCTTTAGACGCCGGCAGCGACGCCACCGACAAGTCAGTTCAGACTGAATGTAATGACAGCTGCAGCTGCACACGTATGACTCTGGTTGGAATCCCTCGCCGGCCCATAATTACACGGATGTAATCACATTCACGTGTTATGTGGTTTCGCCTCAGTGAATAAAATAATGACCGTTATTTCAGCTTCAACACACGCTCAGTTGATCTTCATGCTTCTGATATTTCCAGGTTCAAGATGACCTCCTCTCACCAATAACACGACGATATAAAAAAAAAACAACTTAAATGATAGACTAGATGTGCAACTGTTATAATAAATAATATTTGTTTAAGTAATTTAGTGTTATTTTACAGAAAACTTTCAGGTAAAACCACCGAAAAAACACAGATTTTTATGTTATTGTTAAAAATAAAACAGGTCAGAACTGTAAATAAAAAAATCAAAAATCTGTGTTTTATAAAATATCAGTTTTTACTTTTGCATAGTTAGAACATAAAACTGGAATATTTTTCTGTATTTAAAATCACGAAACAATTT